ACGATACAATAGTTCGTTTCAACGGTCTTCATCTACACATTAAGCTGTATTTTTGACATGAGATATAATGCCGGTCAAATGATTGGCTGTTTGTACTGATGTAGAAACAACAGGAGAACAAGGCGAGGGGAAGGAGACAGAGGAGGGAGTTGAAAAGCGTGCATTACCAGCAGTGGCTTTGACGCTTCTGAAGAATCCAAAAGTACAAGAAGCTGTTATCGAAAAAGGGATCGAAGTGGCGGGGAAATTGGTGGACAAACAACTCAAGATAATTGACGAGGCTCAGGAAAAAGCGGAGCAGTTTTTGAAGAAAGAGGTAACATACGTGTTCATTCTGTTTGTTTCAGAATTCTAAATCCTGATGTATGAGTTCAGTCAAGCTCACTTTCTTGATTCGCGCTCCACTCTCCTTGTCGTATTCTGCTCTTTTGAGGTAGAACGGGGTACCCCTAACACTGGACAAAAGCCTCGTCCTACCTTCTTGGGTTTAAATGCTATTTTGGCACTACTTCAGTAGAATCGATTATATTCCATTCCTTATGGTACGTCTTATCTGGGGGTCCCTCCTTGTGTATGTTTATTAGGTATGCGAAGCAGAAAAAGTAGGGTTTTTGAGACATTCCGCTTTAAAATGAGTTATGTTTTTGCACTCTAAGCTGGAGTTAAACATGTTTTAAGGTGAAAGTTACCTTAGTCCCATTAAAATCAAGGATTCTGAAGCCTTTCTGACATGTTTACGCAAATATAAACCATTCCTGATTAGTTGCGGGTCAGTTCTGAAATGGGGTATGGAAAATCACATATATTGGTCTGAAATAAGGTAAATGTTACAAGAAAACGCCCCTCATTTCGCCAGCAATATCCTTTGGGAGTTCCTCCCTAAGTATCTGGTAGAGTAAATCTACGGAGTAAGCGCGAAAATAATTCGAATTCAAAGCAAATCGAATCGATTTCCTTCGCTTAGTATAACAGGCTATTTCCGAATTACCTTTAGCCTCTTTCTCAAAGCAAGTCTTGGTGCCCATCCTTTCATATGAAATTGAGATTTCATTCACAAGCAAATTAAACTCATTTTCATGTGAATGGTTGTGCACCAGGCCTTTGCCTTGACAGAGAGGCTTAAGGCGACTCGGAAATGAGCTATTCGTTCTTGTCTTTATATTTCTATAGATCAAGTTAGACATAGAACCGGACAAATCGTGGGCAACCAATAGCCTGTATGTCCCACCAGGATATCACTTCCAATCGTCAATCAGTGATAAAGAATCCTCCTCCAGCAAAGAAGCTCCTGATGTCCCGTTTGTGTACCCAGCAGGCATCGGCAGCGTAATGATGAACGGTTGTTACGGAAAAAATTACAGTAGTACTGATCCTTGCTACAACTCAAGAGCGAAGTCGACTGTATGTTGGGTGAGTGCTATATGAGGTAAATCAAGGCAAAAGTAATAGGTCTCAGCAACATCCAGTTGCAATTCAAGTATGTGTTTAGCATGCAAATTGTAAACTTCACTCAAACGTTATAGACAATAACCCTCCACTCATAGCTTGACAGCAACCTAAGTTAGTATACCCATCTTTAATTCATTTCCACCCCCTCCCACTCCACCTCTCTTTATCTTTATCTTTCGATTACCCCCTTACAAATTTTAAATGCACTGGACAGTTTGCCCTCTGAACCAATGAAGCACATCTGGACTACAAATGGCTCAAACGATATCATATGGCATAATTTATCAAAATTTTTTTGAACAAAATTGAACGATCAGAAAAGGTTTGACAGTAAAATGCCCAATGATTTGTTTGTGTCAACAGAACCAGATCGATGGGGCAGCATTCCTTGGAGTAGGATTTGACGGACGAGGAAAGTACAGTCCTGAATCAAGAAA